CCGCGCGCGGGCGCACCGGGACGGCTCCCGCCCCGCTCCCGCGCCACGTCCCTCCCTGCAGCCCCCGCCAGCGTACCCACCTGGGTGCACGGGGCCGCAGTGCCTCCTACCCTGCTCACACCTGTCCGAGGCGCCACAGCCCTTACCGCGGAGTACAAGGCTCCCGATCCGGGTCCCAATTTCCTAGCGCCCCTCCGGCCAGTGTCTCCACTTCCCCCAGCAGGAGAAGTGGCCCCGGGGGGAGGGGCCCGGCCTCGGACGCTGCAGAGCCCCTGCCCACCCCGCAGACCAGGCTTCAATGGCCACGGAAGCGAAGGGCGTGCCGAGGGTCGCCCGGACACAGGGCGGGCGGAGTGGGCTGGCTGAGGCCAAGACAAAGGGGTCCCACGGCCACCGCAGGGGCTGCTTCCCAATCTCAGGCTAGGAGAGCCCCTTTGACCTCCACCACCACCCCGCGCCCCCCACTGTGTTCGAGCTGGCTGCAGGCTAGCTCAGGAAGGCCAGCAGGAGTCCCACTGCAGGCCCTGGCCGGCCTCCCACAGCACTTGAGGGCTCCCCAAACAGCCACAGATGCCCTGTCTAGGGGTCTCCCTGGCCATAGTGCCAGGCCCACTGCCAGAGGCTGCCCAAGAGAAAAGCAACAGGTCTGCTGGTGTCCTCAGGCTGTCTCATAGCCCCCAGTCCTCCCGATGCCCCCAGGTAGTGTGGGGCCCTACCTCTGGACTCCCTGCACCAGCTCCCTCCACAGGTGATCAGAGCCAGAGAAAGGCCTCCTCCCTGCCTCCTCCATCTCATCTGCCCAGGTCACCAGCAAAGCCAGGGCTGAGGCTGAGCACACGCTGGTGCAGCTCATCTGACGGTGTCCGAGGTGGGCGCCTGGCCATTCAGAATGTCCCCTGCAGCCATATCTTCTCGAGGCTGGCCTTCAAGTGAGCCAGGAACCTCTCAACCAGTCTCCACGAGCTGTGTCCAGCTGCGGGTAGGGGGCATACCCAGGCCTTGTTGGCAGACTGGTCTCCCAATTCGGGCCTCTGTTTCCCTGCCCAGCCCAGATGGGCTTTGGAGGGTAAAGGGCCCGCCCTTCCGGCTCCTGCTGCCCAGACCAGCTGTGCGCTGGCCCAGAATCTCAGTGGCGCTTGTCCCTGCCCTTTGTTCCTCCACCACACACCTGCACCGGCGACCTCTGGGAGGGGCTGAGGGGTACCTGGCTGGGGTCTCTGGGAGCCACACCAGGACTCCGGAGGTCTTTCTCCAGGGGGCAGGGGGTTGGCATGCTTCCTGGGCTCTGAGATTGAGGAAGTGGGGGCTCCCTCTGGTTACCCATGGAAGATCACGCCAGGGGAAGTAACTCCGAGTACCGACAGCCATGCAAGGATACAGAAGCAGGGTCCCCGCGTGGCACCGGTTGGAAGGTGCCCTTACGACTCAGCTTCTAGGTGTGGAGCAGGGGCTGCCCCCTGGACATGTGCCCAAGCGGAGCATGGCTGGGCCCATGGCAGCCCTGAGCAGCCCCTTCCACAAGGCCACAGGCTCACTTGTGGCAGCCCTGTGGGACACTAGGCCCCTCTGTTGCTTCAGGGAGGGGAGGCCTGGAGGTTCTAGCAGGGGCCCCATCCTCCACAGAGGGGCGGCAGGCTCTCTCCACACCCGATACCCCCACGTAGGGGAGCCCTGCTCCATCATGTGTGGCATTCTGGTCTGCGAAAGTGACCACCAAGAACGGGAACCCAGTCTCTGTGAGGACCACCCCTGCTCTGAGGGACTGTGGCCACAGACCATGAGAGGGTGTGTGT